TGAACCCAAGCCCTGGGTTCTGCAGCGCGAACTTTCGCTCCACGCGCTCCGAGCTGGTGTGCGCTAGCACACAGATTCCCCAAAAGCAAAGCAAGTCGGATGTTGTGCATGTTTATACAGTGAGATGTCAGTATGGCCCCAAGGAATATGGCACGACATGAAGATTTCATGGCAGCTAGGAGAGGAGAAAAAGACGGTGGTTAGGAAAATAATTTATAAGGGTCCGAGAAGAAGAAAAAAGGGACAAGTGCACAGTGCAGTCAGTTTAATACACAAGATTCACGCACCGAGAGAACTTCAGGATAGCTCAACGTTCCATCAGATACATTGATTACAAACACCACGGTATGTTCCGTGTTCTTCAAGAGTGTCTTCAGTTGAAGTTCGGCTCTGGCTTTCAGTAGTATGTAGTATCTGTTCTAGGATCCTATGCACCTTTTGTGATGCATCACATGAATGACATTACACACACCGTTCTGTCCGACCATGTAAACACAGCGCTCGTTCTACGTGCCTCTCAGTCTGCATTTTTATTGTGCTGTGTCTATTTTTTACAATAATAAATAGTCGTATCAACCTCTTCCGTTCTGTGTCCAGTCAATAGCAGAAATAGTATACCGTATATTCTCTTCTGAAAGAGCAGAACACAACGGGATGGCACTCAGTTGGTCGAACGTTTCAGCAAACAAACGACCGCCCCCAACTGTTCATTAAAAAACACTTAAAAAAAAAAGCGACACAAACAATACTTGTCGTTATGCCGGCCCGTTGCTTGTGCCCTTGCTCCCCTTCCCTTCCCTCGCACCCTCCCCCTCCCCCCTCACCACCACCATCACCACCACCGTTTCCTTAAGTCCGAAAATCGCACCCACTGTATTTCTGCAGTGGCGCACACCCAGTACATCCTCAAAAAAGACAACGGGCCGACATCTCACAACCGCCATGTTGTTTGTGTTTCGCGGCATAAAGAATAGCACGATACCACCACACAGAATGATTTTCCAATCTGTTTCTTACCGCATGCTTATAGAAATATAAAATAAAATAAAAAATAATGTTGTTAATTAAACAAGATCTATTAACTTTGCAAATTCAAAACAAATTTGTTATGTTTACATTCAAACGTGTTTCAATTTCTGCGGATCTGTTGTGTCATGGCGCTCACCAGTCCTGTGCACAAGGTGCAGGAGGTTTGAAATATTTTACGTTTTTGGCTTTTCTGCAAACATTTTCAGTGGTGACATTCGAATTGGTTCGTTAAAAGATCGATAAGCGCATCAGGAATGGAATAAATGTCATAACTATACTCTACTAGACAAAACTTCCTTGGTCTTACCCAGCGGCCCAAGCACGCTGAACGTTACATCGAACCTGCGTTGGTGAGTTGAAACTCTTGTGTTGCTTTATACATAATAAAATCATAGTTGTGCCGAGCGAATGGGTGTAATTTAATTTTTTTTTCTCTGCTGTTACGAAATTCCTGTGATGTTGCCGGTTGCTGCGTCGTTCTCATGCCGTGTATTTTTGACCGCTCGTATGTGTCGAACCTGGGCTGCTGTTTTCAATTCGCGAAATAGTTACATTTGAAATGTTATGCTTTTTGGCGAATGCATTATTTTGTAGCTAACACTTGGCAAAGCCAACGATCCTTACAAAAATTTAACTGTATAAATCGAACTCTAATTCCATCCTTCTCCCTAAAGCATTCAAGTGCAGAAGAAAACTATTTAGAATTTACTAGGCTTGGCGAATTCGCAAAACTGTAATTGCGGATCGAAGCTAGAACGTGCTTTTCAGGCAACGAGGTATTTATCGTTTTAGTGCCTGGGGCATGTAATGCTCAGACACTTAACTAGGGTGTGCAATGCAAATGAAGCACCTTGTAAGGGCAAATCCCAACACAAAAAGTTTCTTTTTTCTTTTTCTTCGGCTAGCACTTTAGCCAATTTTTGCTGATAAGGCCTGCAACATTTATTAGTATCAAACTGCAATTCAGAGGGGAAACACGTTTTTTTTTTTACATGTGAAGTTACATATTTTTTCTGCTTTGATATAGTGAATGTTTGTTCAAGCTCTTTAGTTGTCTTGCGTGAATAAATGAGGTGAAGCTGGACAGCATTAGACACCTTTACTTAAGTAGACAGTTCTGAGGCTTAGAAAAAGTGTCGCACCAGTAATATTAAATACTTTTGTATGGGTCACAATATAAGATTTTAAATGTGCCTATGCGAGTTTCAAAGCAAGGAATTCCTTTAATAAAAAATGCATAGAGTTAGACAAGTTTTTCACAGTGTCTTAGCTTAAAACTCCATGAGAGGATGTCTTGCACTTCTTATCTATGTGACGTCGTGCCCAAACCGGCTTTCTTGCCAGGCGTGCCATGCATCGAGATGGGTGGTACATGTAATTTCAGGTTGCTACCTTTTGTTTCCAGACCGTGGTTTAGACATTCTTGTTGTGCTCACTGGCATGCGTGTTCTCGTGCTCTTCTGCGACACGCCGGTCGTCCCAGCATCTGACAGAAGGTGCCGTTTCGGTGGTTGCCTGATGAGAGTCTGCTACTGACATTTAAGGGGTATTCACACGAGGGACAAATCTCGGGGATTTCTCCCCGGCACGCGCATCCCACGACGAAAACGTCAGGCTTTGCGATGTGCAAAAGACTCGCGTTTTCATCTCGTGATGCGCGCGTGCCGGGGAGAAATCCCCGGGATTTCTCCCTCGTGTGAATACCCCTTTAAGGGTACTATTATAGTGAGGGTGTACAACATCATAAGAGGTCTGTTTGATTTGCCTGAATTGGCTGAACTAGTTCAGCAGTGCAGGAATTGGCACATTCGATTCACCCTGAAGTTGCACAGCCGCTGCACTGGCACATTCGATTCATCCCAGTTCTAAACGAGTTCAGACCCAGTTCCTCAAAAGCTTGCACCAGCTCCGGAGTCAGTTCAGCGTCTGTGCAGAAGCAGACAACAAGAGCAGATGACACTCCTCGCCCATCTCTGCTTGTGGTGCCATTTCTCAGAGCTCTTGCTCAAATGTCTGCAATGTTTAACAATAACGCCCAGTGAGAGGTTACATTTCCTTTCACTTAAGAAAATAATGCACCCATGGTGGACACAGAATCAAGATCCTAACCTAGGGTAGGAATGTGCTCAATTATGATATTCTGAGAGCGTTTTACGCACCTGCTTGCACAGGTTTGGCTCCCTGTGGTAAGCGTTGAAAGATTGACTTGTGCAAATTGTTTCTTTTTGATGCTACGTGGTGCTATGTTCATATTCTTCTTAAAAGACACAGGAAAAGTATCACACTCTTGATAGCCCCCACCTTGAGTAGCTCTTGGATGCAGACTGACGATCCCGATACATTGCAGAGGTCTGGGATTTAATACAAGGGCACTTGCATGCCCCATAGCTGAGCATAATACTGCATGCTTTGTCCGCTGGTATTTGTGGAAGCCCACTAGTGGGCCTGGGAAAAAAACGCAGAGAATCGGCATTGGCAGGCTAGTTCCATGCCAATATTTCTTGAGAATCAGAATAAATGCTTCAACTTGACACCAAAGTGACGGTTGATAACTGTTTTGGCCAAAACGCTCTCGTCAGGCCTTCGTCTTCGAAGTGACCGCTCCTGACCGCGCACGGCCTCCAGTAACTCCAGACGTGAAATCATCCTGATGCTGCGCATCTATCATCTAAATGCGAAATTCTAGAGACTTGGCCTGAATCTGCTATTGCTAAATGAATGTGAAGGAATCTAGACAAACGCATTTCATACATAAAACTTTTTAGTAGACTGGAGTAAGGAAACATCCACAGAAAAGACTTCGTTTTTATACATTAAAACTAAGGAAATGCGAATGGTCTCATCAAACTGCGAATAATAACATGTAGCATACAACGTGGTGCGGTGAAACGAGAGCTAACAGATGCAGACGACACCCCGTGCTTCTGCTCCGAAAGCCGATCACAGCGCCAGTCCCAACGCGGCGGCTGCACTGGTTCTGCGCCCTCATGGCAAAACAATGTTCATTTTGGGCAGACGCGTTTTGTCAGGCATGATACGCAGTCTTTACCGTTCTATAACTATGTGGTTCAAGGGGGGTGTCATGTTTTTCTAGCGGCATAATGATAAATAAAGAGATTGAGCAAAGGGGTAGTGCTTAAAATGGCACAAAAAGAGGAGCACAAGCATAAGTTACCATTCATATTCACCACGAATTATACCCTCCTCACGTAGCACCATTCGGGAACAAATGTATTTCTATAAGTATCTGCATTCCGGAATACTTTTTCGCCGTTTTGTTGTCACATGCACACCTACATAATAGCTGCAGTTAATTTTTTGCAATTTTGCTGCAAGGTTTTATTGTCAGATCAACATGCACCATATCCCAGATGTTTAATTTCTTAATACCCTGCTCATTAGGTAAGTCTTCCCCTAGTACGAAAGTGTGTTGCAGGGAAGCAAAACTGCTGTTTAGAGTACGAGTGTCTTCTCCACAGTGCACCAAAGCCTATCGAGAAGTGCACTCACCAAAGCTAGTGTGGCCACCTCAACAAACTTAAAATAATGAGGACTATTAGGGAAATTAAGTGTACTGTCCCTGTTCCATACGAAGGTAAAATCAAATAGTGTGTTAGTCCAATCAATAGCCTGTATTTTTGAGAACGAGCACCATCCTCTACCATAATGATCCAGCAAGGTACCAAGCTCCGAGTAAATCTCAAAGTAGCGAGCAGACGTCTAGCTTTTCGTGCAGCGTTGGCACAAATTCATCATAGTATTTTGGTTAATTTTAGCAGCATATAGCAGGTTGAGGCCTTTGGTGCAGCAGTCATATCAGCGAGCCTTCCAAGAAGTATGAAGTTTAATATGCTAACTGTTTCAATTGTCAGTCCCTTTGATACATTTGCTTTGCTTCAATGTAACCTGTTCTGCAGCATTATCTTGAACGAATGTTGCTGCCGGTGTTTTTGCAACAAGAATAGCATGAATGAAATGGATGCAAAAAGTTTATTTCAACAAAATAAGACCTACCACAAGCACAAAAAAAGAAATGAACTAAATGCAAACTAAAAAGAAAAAGGAACATTAACAACAAAAAAAAAGAAGCTTGTTGGTCCGTGGGCATGAATGCTTATCTTGTAGTTGGAAGTTGTTTTCACAACTTCCTGACAGAAGCCGTTTCTCTATCCAACACCTTAGAGCACGCTCTCTAGCAGTCGGGCTCCTCCAAAAGACCTAAATTAAAGAAAAGAAAAAGATTAAAAGCACCATGCACCAAAGCATAAAAATTCAAATTACTAAGCTGTTTTTGTCTTGTCCCCCATAGGAATCAGCAGCTGTACATAGTACTTTTTTATGCTAAATATAAGGGAAAAAAGACGGTATTTGAAATGGAGAGGGCACTCTGTTGCAGATGATAAGGTGTGACCTGATAACCAGTTGCGAATTATTTCATTAAACTTAAGCCCCAACATTTACTGCGGTGTCGTGAGGAATCTGCTGATGCTGACAAGGTTTGACTAGAGGAAAATTGGCGACTCCCTCGCCAGGGGGAGGAGGCAGTGGATGTTGTTTCTGGTTTTTGTTAATGTTTTAGGCTAGGTGGTGGAAGCTGCCACCCATTATAAAGGGTACAGCTATTATTATCCATCTATTAGTCTCGAGAGCAAGTTTTTTTGTTTTTTTTTTTACAACAATTGTTACTGAAATTGTTGGCCACGATGAGTGTTTGAACACAATTGTAATAATAACTTGCAACTAATTACAGGGTCACATGCCTTTTCAAATATATCAGTCAGTTTTTGTCATATCAAACTCTAATAATGAAAAGTAAGAAATATGCAGGTGGAAACATAACAAAGGTAAAGAATAACAAGAATAAACATAACAAGGGTAAATCATACCTGCCAAGTTACCCGTATTACCCGGGAGACTCCCGAATTTTGACCAATTAGTACGATTGCCAGAAAAATCTCCCAAAAAACTCAAATCCCCCCCTTCCCTCCTCGCACTTAAATAAGTGGTTTTTGCCGTCGTAACAAACGGCTGCTATGATAGCGAGGCGCAGCAGTTTTTCGCTAGCATGAGCAGTGCAATATAAATATAATGAAGTTGTCTTCATTTACATTTGTTATCAATATCTCTTTTTAAAAAACATTTACCCCCCCCCCCCCCCCCCCCCGCTTAGAAAGTCTCCCGGATTTGGTTTTTCCGAACTTGGCGGGTATGGTAAATAAAGTTCAAGGTCTTGAAACAGTCATTTAGGATAACCTCTGCCTATCCTTCTGCATTCCAGTGACAATACACCCTCGACTGCATGCAAACTGTATGCCACAATTAGGTTTTCTGCCTGGACACTCCTCGTGAAAGAGGGACGGACAACCTAAATATTGAATAATGCCAACAGCACCGGCACAAAGCAGAGGCTGCCTGCACAAGCAATGAACAGCGTAAGCGAAGTCTTTTGGTCGCACTTGAGAAACAATAAAATTTATTATGGGAAAGTCTTTTGTCATTCCCTTTAGGATGCAGTTTAGTAAATGGGTCCTCATTGACTGTTGTCAGAAGCTTACAGAGGTAAGATCTTTGCCGGATGCTATGTATTGCATGTTAGCTATTGTGAATAAGCCACAATCCAGAGTGCCGCCTTGACTTTGTGAGCCATCTCGGTGGCTCTGAGGCGAGACCGCTGGCCTACGGATCCCCATGTGGCGGGTTCAAATCCCGGCCGAGGTGCCCACAATCTGACGGAGGCTTATTGCGGAGGAGGCGCCGTGTAACCGAGCTTTCGGTTGCACGTCAAAAGATCCCCAGGTGGTCCAAATTAATCCTCAGTCCTCCGCTGGGGTGTGCCAGATGCCCGTCGTTGGTTTGCCATGTAAAACTCCCAAATTTGACTTTGACTTGGCCTCGACTTTGTGCAGGTTTTATAAAAACATTTATAGTGGCCAATTGTAACTTCAGAATGCTGCACAGTTGCTCGACAAAATCAGGAGGAACATTGTCAATATAACCATACGCAAAGAGAGAGTTTGGAGGTGACCCAATGTTTGATACTGAGAGCCAATGCAGTGACGTGATCGCTCAGTCGTTTTGGAGCAGCTCTTGGAGCAGCCAAAAGAACTTTTGGAGCACAAGCGCACATTCTATTTTCATTCATAGCACTGCAAATATTACATTAAGATTCATGTGTTGACCTGTCCAACTAGGCAGAGTCTACTTTGCCTTCTCACTTATGTGCAACCTTTTGTTATCATCGATTGCACAGCAGGACTGATTTCCTCAAGCACAAAACTAGCAGTTTACTTGCACGCAGACGCACCAGACACGGTGACAAGATGACAGATAAAGGACAGCATGAATTGTGGTGAATTGTAAATTTAGGTATGGAATCCCAGTGAAATAATGCTAGAATGCAATAATTTTGAGTGCCTAAATTTGTTTCCTTCAAGTTCTAGAGGTTGTAATAAAACTGCAGTTCTTAATAGAGAAAAAAAAGCACTCGTCATTTGATTATGAAACATCAGTTATATTTTATACCTAGAACTCCATAACAAAAAAAAATGACCGCATCTCCACATGTTGAATGATGCTGATTGGGGCGAAGCTCTCGGTGGTGCTGATGATACTGATCTTGTTCATAGGTAGTGCTGATGGTGCTGATTTTTTTTTATTGCTCATAGGTAGTGCTGAGCTCTGGGTTGCGTTGGTATGGAATGTGTGGTATGGAACGTGGTTATATACGCATTTGAGCATTTGACAGCCGCCCTCTCGTCTATAAACGTTGAGCCAATGCATGCAAAGTTTAACGCGATTATATACGCATTTGACCGCAGCGCCCTCTCCTGTATAGACGTTGAGCGGCTACATGCAACGTTTCATCCATCTCATCCCCAGCTCTTGAGTTACTACCACACCTCAGAGCCCCTACTCGTCCCGCAGTCGTGGCCGAGTGGTTAAGGCGATGGACTAGAAATCCATTGGGGTCTCCCCGCACAGGTTTGAATCCTGTTGACTGCACAAACATTTTTTTTCTTTTTTTTAAGAAGACAGATGGGATGGCACTCGATGTGAGCATGGATGCCGGACATGGCTAGACCCTAAGGAGCTTCGCCCCTAAAATTGGCCTGTAAATGATAAATATGCCTTCTTATAAACAACTCCGCCGAACTCGCTAAGGTTCTTCTCAAGCTTGCATTCTCTACTTCTGGTAATTTAGCTGCTAATTCACTCACACTTAGATAATAGTGACCACTAAACAAAAAAGTTGGCATAAAACATTAACTTAAAGAAGAGTCTACATAAATATATTTGCAATACTGAAGTATCCTTGCTAATACTAGAATTGGAAAAAGATACCTCCACGATACTGCAGTCAGTCTATCATACATACAAGCCAAATTTTATTCAAAAATCGTCCAGTCTAGCTTTGGAGGTATGCTTTCCCCTTAGCACACAGGTGCGCTGCAGCGAAGCAAGACACAAGCGACACCGCGGTTGTCGCTTCACTGCAGTACACCAGTGAGCGGTGAGAAGAGCACTCAGCGAAACTAACCCGCCAGAACAGAACACGAAAATTATTGCGGAACTTCCGAGTGTTAGAAATAGTCTCGAATAAGATATATTCTAGAAAATAAATGAGGTCTTGACAACTAAGCTTTTGGCAATTAAAAAAACACTGGGTTTAATATAGTAGTCGAAAGTACAAATTTAGGCCATAGTTTCCAAATTCACAAATTTGGGTACTATGGTGGTTGCATACCACCATCGCACAATGCTCTTGCTCAGAGTCCCACAGGTAGACTGCTGTATAGTTCTCTCGCGGTGCTTGGTCTCTCCTGGCTGGCACATGCCGCATCCGGTTCGACGCCAGCCAGTTGTATCTTCATGGCGCTGGAATCCATGTTTGAGACCCCTAATGCCGAGGAGTCAGTGTTAACACAAGCCTTTAAGAACACAACATTCGTGCCCTCTGAGCTTCGTAGGCGACTTCAGGGATGCGCCCGGCAAAATACAAGAAAAAAGGCAAAACACAATGGCACTCGCTTACACGAGTAATGTCTGTGTTTGATGCGAAATCAGACAGAGTTAGTATGTTATATGACGTAATATTCTAAAGATCTGCAAACTCACACAATCCTATCGTTCCGGCCAAATTGCAAGTTGTTAAAATTAAGTTTTGGCGCAATGTTGGCTCGAGTTCCTCAGATTTTGGTCAAATGTAGCAAGATGTAGTACTTTGGCACAAGTATCACATCACTGCCAATGGTCTGGAACTCTTGTATGCAATAGCTGAATGAAAGCATCTCTCACCTGTTTGAAGTTTAGTCCCTCAGCTAACAGAACAGCTTGAAAAGTACCCCAATGTGGAAATGTTTTATGTGTTACGTAAAACATTTACGCACAATATTCATAACACTATCAGACAGAGAACTGTTGGATCTTACACATGCCCGTTCTTTTTCAGTAAGTAAATAACTTCTGTAGAGAGGAATTAACTCTGCCCCATATCGTACTAAGGCGAAGTGCCTTGTTGTGGAGCATTCCAGAAAGTGCATGCTTATAACTGTCACATTTCGTGGTCTGCCTCCTGCGTTTGATCAAACTAATGCACAGTTTTTCGGAAAAGGTTGCCCCACCGATTGTTGTCTATTAGCCGCTGCTGAGATACATCCTCTCAAGCTGCACAGGGTGCAACAGACTATGGCAAGAGCTGCACCTGGTTGCTAGGGAAGGTTGCAAAAGAAACGCCTTAATATCAATCAATTTTTCATTTAGCCCTCGTTCACCGCATTGGGCCAAGGAGTTAGCTGTTGGTTTGACTAGATGAACTCAACCATGGAGTACTTAAATTCATCAGATTGAACTAGTGAACATGTCTTTGACCTTTTTTTTTAAAAAATACATGCAACCCTTTTTTGGTCCAGTCTTCAAATGCTGCTAGATAGGTTGGATAGTTGCTAAACTAGGCCTGCAGGAAAATGGTTCTGCAGCAGGGCTGTGACGGGATGCTTGCCTCCAGTGGCCCTGCTCTTTGTCGCACATGCTGGGCTGTCCTCCCCCAAGCCAGACAATGGATTATCGGACACATACAAAGAACAGAGGCACCCTATGCAGGGTCTACTCCATCCCAAGCAATTGTGGGGAGATGCAATAGTGGCAGTATGGTTTAGTGCCTTACACAGCCTGCGAGACCCTCGCTTCGTGCTCTTGTACTTCACCCACGCTGCTTTCCTCCTCCCACCGTGCTTTGGAAAGGGCACGTTACCTTGGTTTCAGTCACTTCAAAGGCCACCCACTTACCAGCCTCTACAGCTGTGCTCCCCGAGGAAGTGACTTTTAAGCACTTCTCTGCACTAGCTTTCCCACCCGAAGCATTGCCAGTGGCACGGGCTGCTTGCTCCCATGTCTTTACAGGAGCTGTGCTCCCCGAGGAAGAGGCTTTTGGGCACTCCTCTACACTAGCTTCATGCTCACCATTCTCTGCACAAGCTGCAACTTCCAAGAAAGTGGTTTTAGGCATTCTGCACTAGCTTTTCTACCCGAAGCATCGGCAGTGACAAGGGCTGCTTGCTCGCAGGCCTTTACAGAAGCTGTGCTTCCCAAGGAAGTGGCTTTTGGGCACTCCTCTGCACTAGCTTCACACTCACCGTTCCCTCCAAAAGCTGTGCTTCCAAAGGAAGTGGTTTTCGGGCACTCCCCTGCACTATACTCCGTTTCACCTTCAGTCCAAGCGCAGTGGACGCTATAGGAGCCATCCCAGCCAATCCAGCGTTGAGAGGGTGGCATGTGACCTTGAGCTACGGGTGTCGCTCTGCCCAACAGGCAGGTCACGCGATTTTCTCCTGGTGCTGGATCGGCTGGAATGGCTTGTGGCGTCCACTGCGCTGAGACCGAAGGTGGAACGGAGCATAGCCTTTCCACTCAAAGAAGCTGTGCTCCTTGAAGATGTGGCTTTCAGGCACTCCTCTGCATTAGCAAGAGGCATGCTCTCCCAGGTTTGCCCTACCTGACTGTCCTTGCTGTGGACTCAAACACCACCAACCAGCCTAACCCAGCACCACGGCTCTACTTCACTGGCACATCAGAAGGCTTGCCTCGTCTGTGCCTCCGCTCAGCCTTTCCATATGTGACAACTGGTTGGCTTCTGTCCAAAACGAGCTCAGAGGCCATGCAAGCACCTGGTTCAGGAGAGCCTGTAGATTTTGACATCTCTGCACCTCATCAGCAGCTGCTTCACAAGGTGCACAGGTACTCTCAGGGGAGGAAGCAGCAGAAGCAAGTGGCAGAGGTGGTGCGGAAGCAGCGGGAGAGCAAAGTGGAGGAAACTCAACCTCACAGAGCATGGCTGGTGGAACTTTTGATGGTCCAGCCAGCGCTTGAAGAAGCCTTCATTGTTGTCCCCTAGTACTCCCGCTGAATTCTGGCCCCGGCCATCTTCTGCACGATGTTCTGCGCCTGCTGGTTCATGAACTTGGCAAGAACCTGCCCAGATAGCTGAGAGTGCCCAACTATTAACCTCTACACTACAGCACCAAACCTGACTGTCAGCCTAACTTAATTGTCTGAGTTAGTGTCCATTTAAAGTTTTAAGCAGTGTTTCATAAAGTAAAGCATATCTAAAAACTACTTGAAGTGAAGTTGGAGTAATCATGTACATCAAGTTGAGTAGTAAGTATACAGGGCGAGATGCAGTTGAAGTAAAGTACAATAAATGCAGTCTTTTTTTTAAATAAAGTAAACTGATGGTCCTCTTCATTCCCACTCTGAGTGTCTTTCAAATCATGGTATGCATAGGTACTCAAGTGTGTAATATGGGAATTATTTGCGGTACTAGCGGCAAATATCAGACATGGCCAAGAGGCCACCCAGTACTTTTTTTATCTCCCCGATGAGCGGCTTGCATTTTCGTTACATCAGCAGTCATTACTCCGTACCATGCTCCTGTGCTCGTACCTTCTGCAGCATAAATTTCACACCTTCAAACTTGTACTTCTTGGCCAGAACAAGTAGGAATGACATTGCGTGCAAAGCATGTATTAACATAAAGTTATAAGCCACTTATAACTGCCAGTCCTCTGAGAGGAATGGCCAGAAGAGGTTTCGAAAGAAATCAACACTTTTGCATAATAACAGCCTACCACTTTGTTGTTAGGTTGGTGCAAAATTATACTCTACCTCAGAAGTTGTAGGTACTATTTGGAAAGCCAAGGACATCGGCACATGGGTTTTGAAAGAGCTTAGAGTTTCCTGAGCCCTCACGAAACAGACCAGTGCTCGGATCAATGCATTTGTCTCTGTGTGTTTCCCAGAGCTGTATGAAACATCCGAGACGAAGTATGGTTAAGAGAGTTCAAAGGAACCATTTTCCAGCTCTAGTAACAATATGACATGCAGGTGCACACATTCCATGCACAGTGAATACCAGCGGAACTAATGATATCAAAATCAGAGTTGAAAAATGGTTCTCTAAAACTCTGTTGTCTTCTAAGAACGATGAAAAAGACATTGTTCTCAAAGACAATATGAAGCAATGCATCGTCTGCTTACGCACCTCGCTAGGTAAGAATATACCTCGCAAATTTAGTAAGACCAGGTTTGGAGAATGTACTTGTAGTAGGGAGTTGTAGTTTCCTTGCAAAGTACTAAAAACAAATACTTCAAATTAAGTTCTTGTGAACACTGAGTATAAGGGTGATTGTAATTTTCATACACCCTCAAAAGTAAAATTTTTTAAACAAATGTTTTTTTTTTTTTTAGGTTTACGTGCTAAGCGCAACGGAGGGCACAGGAATATTTAGACCACCAGGGGGATTTTTTGTTGAGCAACCGAAAGCTCACATTACCACGGTGCCTTTTCTGCAATAAGCCTCTTTCACATTGTAAACACCTCAGTCAACATTTTTTCTTAAGTACATTGCAACTGAATATGCACAGACGCGTACTTGTACGGCTACTACTGTAGCCATCCTTGCGATCGATGTCTCTATATTTCTGCTCGTCGGCACAGACGCCATACCTCGTTGCCCATCTGGCTTGGGTGGGTGCCGTCGCAATAGTGGGCACTACTAGAGTGATGGTGTTTTTCTTGTTGCTCGCCAGAGGACGCTATCATTTATAAAGTGCTTATATAAGAACCGGTGGGGCGCATGGAAATAAAAGGGCTTTTTTTTCGTTTTGGTTGTTGTCACGAGCTGGGCTGCTGTTACTTGGTCGTCGTCCGTTCCGAACATGGTGTCAGAAGCTGGCTAACACCGTCACTATGGCGGAAGGTGACCTCCGTATCCAAGTAGTTTGCGTCGGAACTTCATCCGCACCATTCACTTTCACCAGCCCGGCGAAATGGCCGACTTGGATTGCAACGAGGGCAGTCAGGTATGGATCAGTTCTTTGCAAAGAAGTCTTTCACGGTATGCACCATGCACTCTACTTCACCGTTACTCTGGGGGTATCACGGGCTGCTGCCTCTTCGCCATCGTCCATTCCGAATGTTCCAGCTAAAAGGACTATGTTCTGATTGTAGACTACTACTCAAGGTTTCCTGAGGTCATCTCTCTCGGATCTACATCTGCACAAGCAGCCATCTCGGCTGTCAAGAGTTGCATGGCTTGCTATGGAATCCCGAACGTCGTGCGGACAGATATTGAACCGCAGTTCGCATCTCACGAGTTCGCAGACTTTGCTCAGGCACACAGATTTCGCCATGAGACTAGGAGCCAGTGATACCCCTAGAATAACGGCGAAGTAGAACGCATGGTGCGTATCGTGAAGAACTTGTTTGCAAAGAGCACCGATAAATACCTGGCTCTCCTATCGTAAAGAGACGCACCCGGTGTCAATGGTGTTTCTCCTGCCCAGTTGTTAATGTGAAGAAAACTAACTCGACTTCCTGGTCTACCAGAACGACTTCAGCCATCACTGCCAAGCCATCAGAACTTCAAGGCAAGAGATGCCGCAAACACTTCACAACAGGCAAAGAACCACAATTGCCGGCATACTTCAAGTCCTCCGACCCCCTTGAAGTTGGGGGAGGACGTATAGGTTAAGGACGTCAATTGCCGAGGCAGTTTCCTCAGCCCCGCTCAGTGACCACAGTCATATGTGGTGGAAACGCCCAGGGGAACTCTGCAGTGAAACCGTCGGCATCTAATCCCCTTCTCAAAAGGCCAGTCAACAGAGGAACTGCCAGCCAGTGAACAAAATCAAGGACCAAGTTTACAGCAGTCTACGCCTGGTGAGGGTCAACCAGCATCATCGCCAGAGCCTCGGCAAGAAAGGCTTCGGCTGACACGCACACGCTGCGGTCGTGTGATTGGACCGCCAGGGCGACTGACTTATAGATCTTAAGGGGAGATGTAGTGGGCACAACTAAGGTGATGATGTTTATCTTATTGCTCGCCAGAGGACACCATCATTTATAGAGCGCTTATATAAGGAGCGGCGCGTAGAAATAAAAAGGGCTTTCCTTTTTTTGGTTGTGGTCACGAGCTGCGCTGCTAATAATAATAATAACATCTTTATTCAACCCTGGAGGCTTGCGGCACCACAGAAAGGCCATTGGCCCATACCTGAGGCCTGTCGTGCCGTCACTTGGCTGTCACTTGGCTGTCGTCCGTTCCGAGCAGTGTTGCCAGGTCTACTGATTTATCAGTAGATCTACTGATTTCGTTCCGGGTCCACTGAATCACTGAAAAAAAGGAAAATCTACTGACTTTCTTTTTCTTTTTGAGTAAACATATTAAAATTTATTATTTGGCCCCTTCAGTTCCCAGGGTCGCCCATAAAAAAAAACTGATATTCTCCCAGAATTAAAAATGAAGCACTGGCTAGATGGCCCAGAAGCCCGTCCTATTCGAGTGACTTAGCCGTATATTCATCTATCTATTCACCCAGAGCGGGTTTGACGGTGACACCCGGGCCCATAGAGATTCCGGGCCAGAGACATATAGGGGGAGAGTTTGGCCAGACTATGATCTTGCCGCCGTAACGTCCCTCTCCCGAGTGAGCCAATCAGCCTGCGGCGCAGAGCGAGAGGTGTAGCGCATGCGCGTGAACTCTCGGCTGCTCCCAGCTGAACGGAGAGGGCTGCCATTTTCATTCATTCGTCCGGCAAAATGCAACGGATCGACATCCAAATTGCGGTTCCTTTCCTTTTATTGGCCGGCTCTGGCAAGAAAATTATATAATGTTATTTCTCGCTGGCTTAAAAAGGTAACGAATTAAGTATCTCCACGTTTGAACGCAAACTTTAAGTCAGGCGAAAAATAAATATGCCCGTAGCAGACAATGCGTACCCTCAACAGTGCTCCGCGCCGACACCGTTGCGTCAAAAACCTTCCACAGCTCAGAAAGGAAAAATGGGAGCTTGCAGAGGACTTCCATTGGACATGTACGCACGCACTTGCCGGAACGCCTTGTTTTGGTTTCGTTTCAATATTAGCGACAGGTGGATGTCGCACTGTCACCCTCATCTCTTAATCTCGATTTCAAAGAATAATCCTCGAAATCGCAAAACTAATCAATGCTAATATAAAAAAAACAACATTTGCGGTGCCATTTTATTTTGTCCTTCATAACGAATTACTCGAGAACTGGTCTTTTCTTTTCATTTTTATTTGTGTTTATTACCATGTTATTTGTTACTCCATACTATTTCTATGAAGTATGGTTTAATGGAAATAGCAAAACGCGGCAAAACGCAGATTTCGTAGAATCTACTGATTTTTGTGCAAATCTACTGACTTTTTGGGGATCAATCTGCTGACTTTTTTTTTCTCCGTCTGGCAACACTGGTTCCGAGCAGTCGCGAGCGATCCACTGCTGCTACTCGTTGGCCAAGCCGCCGAGAAACTCGAACCCCTCCTTGCGACAAAACTCGCGCTGCAGGGAGTTTACCTGCCGGTAGTAGTCATTCATAACCTGCATCTCGGCAGCGTGACTACGCTGTCGTTCCAATGATCAGATTTGTTGATGCACACGCTAGCACTAACGCCGGTGGTGTTAGTGTGTTAGTGCCGACGTGCACGATGGCAACGGCAAAATCGGCAAGCCTGTCAGACCGTGAAAACAAGTTCCCAATCCTAATCCTACTAGATGCAACGACCTCAATAGCCCTCCGGTCAATCGACGAGAAGTACTGGTTCGAGTAAGGATCACCGGCTACCAAAACACCAGGCACGTTGGGAGTGCGACCACGCTCGTTTACAACCCGATAAAAAATTCAAATTAACGCGTTCAAAGCGCAAAATACAGACAATGGCAGTAAATACTAATGAATATGGTTAAACAAACAAAGAAGTAATCGGGCAAATGATAAGTGGAACGCTTCAAATGAGTGCAAAAAGCTTGCGTGAAACCAACCCAGAACTTGACCAGTCGCAGACTCGGGAAGGGCAGTCAGGGCAGTGACAGCGGTGACAGTCACACGAGTCTGCGACACCAGAAGTGATGTCACCCTCAACTACCGGTGTCGAAGGAGCCGTGCCCAATAAAGATACTTTGATTTGAAAGCCGAAACATTAGTGAGCGTCGAAGGGTTTTTTTCGTGCGTCTTTCCTGAAAACGAATTGATCTATCGAACGAGCGTGTCGATAGCTCGGCGACAGAAAAGTGATGAAAAGACAGCTAGACCGCTGACCTGTTTAGAATGCTTAGCCCAGCATCAGCAAATAAAGATACTTAGATTGGAAAGCCGAAACACCAGTCAGCGTTGCGGGCACGGTTTGTTCATGTATACCGCTTAAAAACGAATTGACGTGCAATCGAAAGACGGTGCGCCGGTATCGGCGTAGCTTCCGTCTCGCTGCGAGACGGAACCGACGGAACCAGGGAATCTCTGACAAATTTGACGATTTCCTGCGTCGACGAGCGAGTTCAAGAATGTTGTCTTTAATTTAACTCGCAACAGCATGCATGGTCAATAAATAGATCGGCCAGGTAACCTTCCACATATGTGTACGAAGCGGGTCTTCAAACCTTTCAGAAATATTAAAACGTTTGTAGAAACTTCATAACGTCGCCGTCTCTTTTGCTTTAGACTCTGCCGCTCCACACGGGCCTAATAATTTATCTTCGAAATATTTTCGGCTTCTGCCACCCCTATCTACGGTCGGAAGGAGTTTGTGTGGCCCGTCTGTAGCCCGTCGATAGTTTCTGGCCGTGTTTCAAAACTTACTCGATCTAACTCTATAGGGTAAAGGTGGTTATCGAAAACCTACCCGCGTCCAGCGTTTCTCTATTTTTGTTGTCACGTGACTCGGATCCATTCGAGTAGGTTTGGAGCGCAGCCTCGGTGTGTCGCGCTCTTGTACGCTATGCGCCGTTTAGTTGCTGCGCTCGGAGTATGAAACTCGGAGCGTCAGAGTAGGAGCAAAGGAGCGCCGACTTAACGCGCCCACTGAAAATTGCGAGTGAAATCTCATCAT